AAATCCTTCCATTCCCCACTATCCAAAGCTTCTTGGATGAGAAACGAAACGTCTTCAAAGAGAAAACAAGAAAATCCAGCACCTTTGGGACAACCACGACCTGAATGACTGAGAAATTTCCAGACTTTCTCATAAAACAAGGGTCTTCTAACTTGGCAAGTTTAAGACTTGTGGACTTCAACTCCCAGAATTCCTGAGCTAACATAACTGGAGGAGGAATTCTGGGAGTTGAAGTCCACAAGTCTTAAAGCTGTCAAGTTTGAAGACCCCTGTAAAGCATTATCCGGAGTGGCATGTTTCTCTCACGTATGGACAGGATGTCGTTTCCCAAGTTTTATTTATTTATTTTTATTTATTTATTTGATTTGCCAATTGTTTACAAGATAATAAGTATAAATGTATACATAGTTGTGAATACATGAAATGGGTACATATAAGAAAAATAAAAGGATAAGAGAAACAATAGGACAGCGAGAAAAGGGAAGGGGACCGACCGTTTCTAAATCACTTTGTTCGTATTCCGGAGGATATTACGTTTTTGTGGAAAGACAAAAAAAAAAATCCCATCCGCAGCTGCCTTGTGGTAAGGTTTATACATTTCGTAGAAGGAAATCAGAATGAATTAGAATCACACAAAAGCGTTACAATATATTTAAACTCAGTTTTTGTTTCTTTTTTCTCAGTTTGTTGTTAACGATTGAGAGGAAAAGTGACTGCCTGGAAACAAATTCCTTCCTTTTTTCGGTGTTGTAGGTTTTCGAGTAACAAAAATTTTAATCAAGAATAATGTGCTTTAGTTCTAACTTCTTAGGACCATCCAATTTTTGAGGAAAAAAAAAAAAGCCCAGATACCGCGAGAACATGGCACCAAACCTCGTGTAAAAAAAAGATCCGGCTGTGGGGAAGCGCGTGCGCCTGTATGAGAGTCGGATATACGCCCACGCACGTGCATGTTATCGCGATATTTGGAGAACCAGGAGCAGGTAGAGAGGAGTTGGAGAGGAATTTCCGAGCTGTACTAAACGAGGCATGGTGTCGGAGGCTGGAAGGAAGACAGCGACAGCAATGTTTTTTTTCGTATTCTTGCAATAATTAGTAGCTAACCTTCCCCCTCTCACTTTCCTTCCTCTCCCCTCCCCCTAATCTGGAAACAGCGCTGTTTCGGTCTGGGAAGTAGGTGGAAAAAGATGAGGATCCTGGCTTGGGGAACTTGCTAGGAATTCAGGCTAAGGAAAGGGTTAGGGGAGGCTCACTGGACTCGGTTACGGGACTGCAGGATTTGTCCAATGAGCCTGGGCGGGCTGGAGAGTGTTTATAGTAATCCCTCTCAGGCAGTTGAGATAGCAAATAAATTCAGACCCCCACTTTCATTTTGTAAGGATGTGGGCCCTTTAGTTAATGGCAAGGCAGCTTTGAACCAAGGGAGTCCACTGCTTAAGTACTTTAGGGGACTATTAGGGGACCACTGTTTCAAAAATCTGCAAGTGAACTAGTCTCTTTCCAAAACTTTTTGTTTTTGAAAAGTTCACCCCCTTACCTATTTACAAACTGGGGTTTATTTGTATTTACCCCTTTAATCAACTCTTTGGGGGCAATTTATATCCTAAAACGAGGAATTAATTGAGACCTGGAATTAAGGAAGAGCAGGTGTTTACTTGATTAAAAAAAACTTGTCTTCCCTTCCTACTTGTGGGATCAGAGGATATTTTGACAAAGTTATTTTTCTCCAGGTTGAAAGGTGGGCTCAACTCAGTTTTATATCTATTTCTGAGACAGCTTTATCTTACTATATTTTTGCATGTTATTTTACAATCTGGCATTCATAGAGCAACCCCCAACTATCATGTAAAGAGACAAGTGGGTTGAATGTAGGTAACAAGATAAAATAGCCCTTCCATTGTGAGGTGTGTGTGTCTTGAAGATTTGGGCTTTTTGGAGGATTCCTCCCTCTTCAAGCACAGTGGAGAAGGAATGCCAAACCCAGAGAGACATGGGGGCAAGAAGAATGCGGGAGGAGGGGAGTCTTTGCATCAAGGTGCAGTGTCCTGCAGTGGGAGCTCAAACAGAGAGAGGCACCGGCTTTCTAAGCATAAAAGACACAGATCCAAGCATTCCAAAGATTCACTGTTGGGGTCCCAAGAAGGAAGCGCAACACTTGGCAGCATGATCAAGCCATTGGTAGAATATGACGATATCAGCTCTGATTCTGACACCTTCTCAGATGAAACAGTCCTCAAGTTGGAACGTAGAGAAAATGAAAGGAAAGGGACATTGGACAGGAGTGATCGATTAAATAGACAGCAGCAGCACAAGCATGTCCATGACTTGATGAAAAGTAAGTTGGGGGACAAGGAGAAGCAACTGGAAAGGAATCAAGAGTCCTCAGGCAATTTGAGTTCTAATAAAGATCGAATATCCAGGACTTCCAAAAGGCTACATGAGGAGAATGATGACCATTCATCTAAGTCATTCAAGAGTAGTAGCAAAGAGTCTCGGTCAGCCAAACTGCATAAAGAGAAGTCTAGGAAGGAGCGGGAGGTGAAATCTGGTTACAAGGATCACAGTAAAAGTCGTTGGAAAAGAGATGCCCCCAAAAGCTACAAGTCACTGGACAGTCCAAAGTGGAAATCCAGAAGTCCACACCATAAGTGGTCAGATGGTCCCAAACAAAATGACAGTCCCTCAGGAGCATCTGATACACAGGACTATGACAACAGCCCTCCACACACTCACACATCCAGTAACTATGATTCCTGTAAGAAGAGTTCTAGTGTATCCTCACGACGACCATCAGTGAGCCCTCCATTTAAGGAACCTGCCTACCAATCCAGTATATGTTCTCCCAGCCCTTATGGCAGGAGACAGCGGTCAGTCAGCCCATACAGCAGGAGGCGTTCATCCAGCTTTGAAAGGGGAAGTGGTTTATACAGTGGAAGATCCCCCAGCCCATTCAATCGAAGGAGCTCCAGCAGTTCTTATGTTTCCAAGCGGTCTCTGAGCCGTAGTCCTGTTTCCAGGTATTTGGTCTTTGTACTTAAATCAGAACTGTTGGGCTTCCCAAGTACAAACGTAACTGAAGGGGCTAATGTCCCAGAATTTTTGTTACTGTCCCTCAAAACAGAAAATGTTTTAAATTCCTCTGTTCCATGATTCATTAGGGTAGCCTTTCCCACCATGATTTGTCTTTATGTGTTACATTATAACACCCGCTATTACAAAGTTGTATCCTCATGCTAGTGAGACTGGAGTTGGGAGTCTAACACATATGGGTGGGGGGGCACAATATTAAAGTAGGCTGATTTAAGGTACCAACTTGTTTTGTTTGTCTTGCAATATTGTATCCTAGGAAATAATTTCTCTCTTACTGATTTGGAGAATACAAAGTTGAAAAGCCAGGTCAGCCAATATGACACTGATATGATTGGATATGTCATTGTAAAACATAGTTGAATATGAAAAGTTAGTTGCAATGAGCATTGAGTCTTGCATGTTAGCTGCCCAGAATTGTTGTATCGATAAGATGGGCGGCATAGAAATTTAATGTTTTTCAACATCTTTTTATTTTAGGTTTGGTTTGTCTACGATTTGTCATATCATTAAAACCTGGCAAACTAGAATCATTGATCACATCATGATTAGTAAACTGCAGTTCATTAAAGTTGGATGACATACTACATTATAATTAATGCAGATGGGTAGCTTCTGTGTCAGGTGTGTGTAAATGAACACACAGCTTCTAAGGTTTACTGATAATTGTTTTCATGCTAAATTCAGGTATAGTGTAAATGTAAAGCAATTTTTGAAAATGAAACTAAACTGCAACTTAATTTATACTCCTGGGTCATTGTAGCTTTTCAGTTTTTATAAAATTAAAGAACTGGAAGAGGTGCCAGAATGGGGTTACTAAATATGTAAAATTCAGTGTTGCAAAGTACTTCCTTTTTTAGCAAAGAAAATGAGGTACATTTAATACTATACCACTTAAGTATATAGTATTGAAGTTTCAGATTTTATCAGCCTTCATGGTGTTCTATTCTCTCAGCTTTATGCTAGTAACAAAATGGGCAAGTCTCCATGATTTTAGTTATAGTTTTGCTGTGATAGTTTTATCAGAATTATTTTACTATACCTTTTTAATGGAGATAGACGTACTTTTGATAAACCTTTAGATAAACAACAGTAGTTAGGTGCTCAAAAATAACTTGATTGCAGCTTGTGATATTTATGAATACCAGAAGGGAAGTCAGTGTAGCTAAAATATTTTTATATTACTCCTTGTGAATTCTAATTTTAACTAATTACAGTATTGAAACCTAAAAGCTGAAAGGAACTTTGAAAATAGAGTTTATTATCAATATTTGTCACTGATTCTAAACTTTATACTGTTTACCTTTAAATAAGATAACGTCGCGACGGTACTGCATGCAATCTCAGAGGCTCTGAGATTGCAGCTGATATCTTTGCCTCTGGACGGTCCCAACGGACCTAAACCGTCCCGTAGAGACGGTGAAAGTGAAGAGCACATCCTGCTGATCCCAGGGACATCGCAAAGTCCCTGGTTGATCCAGGAGAAGCCCTTCTTGCCGGCGGCAGAGAGGCAGTCAACTTGCACAACTTGAGCTGCGTTCATGTGTGCACATGCACTGGCCCACTGCTTGTGCAACTTGAACTACGTGCACGCCTGTGCGCACCGGCCTGCCGCTCATGTGGCCCGGTTGTGAATAAGCCATGTCCCGGTGGTGGGCTGTGACCCAGGGGTTGGGGACCCCTGCTTTAATACACAACTTCAGCATATGAGCTAAGCTCTCTATTCAGTGAAGCAGTTAATACTCTGGCAGTGCTGAACAACAGTCTTGTCCCATTGTTTTGAATATTTAGACCAGTGGTCCCCAACCTTTCCAGCTTGGCAGCCTGGTGCGGGTGGGGGGGGTGTTGGGTGTTTGGGTGAGTGAGTGGTAGGCACACGTGCACAGCTCCATTCGCATGAGTGGCACATGCACCCTTCACTCACACAAATGAAGCTTTGCATGTGAGCAGAGGGTGCTTGCGCGAGCGGAGGGTGCTTGAGCAGAGGGCGCTCACGCTTGAACACAAAACTCAACTTGTGTGAGTGGAGAGTGCTTGTGCATGAAGCTTCATGCAAATGGAGCTTCAAGCACAAGTGCACTCCGCTTGTGTGAGCGGAGCTTCACACGCATGTGCTTGCCCATTTTTTTTGCAGCCCAGTTTCAAACAGGCTGCAGCCTGGTAGTGGGCCAGGGCCCGGGATTTGGGGACCCCTGATTTAGAGGGCTGGTATCTTCCTACTTGTGAATTCTGGATGGTCTTCGTGCAGCATGTCTCTCAAAGCTCCATTCTGTCTGCAATGGGATAGTTAATGACCTCAAGAGAAAGTATATAACAGTTAACATACAGCGCTTTTATGGATGGAGTGTTGTGAAATAAGTAGTATTGATTACTAGGCAAACTGCCCACCAAGTGTGATAAGAAAACAAGTATCATTAGGTAGGCTCTTTGTATTGTATAACTTTCCTTTGGACCATGGAGAGAGAGAGAGAGAGAACACACACACACTGCACTTAGTGTGCTACATTTTGAATCCAATATTTTTGTCTCCATGGTTAAGGTGGTTGGTTCTTCAACTCTGGGCAATTAATTTTAAATAATGTAGGACAAATGGAGCTGCTGTTTCCTGCTCACCACAGACCAAATGTCAGGAAAGCATCTCTATGTCTATTGAGAAAGAATTAGTTAGTATGAGTAAATATCTGACCTTAACTATTTTTAGAAAACATATTTATTAACTTTGTTTGGCACCCATCTTGCCACAAGTCTGATGAAAACTTTATGATGTGCTGGGTAAAGTGGGTTTGAATAGAACAAACAAGAACAAGTATTGTATATTTAAATATGTGAAACTGCAAGGGGGTAGCTCATTCCTGTTCATTTTTAATATTCTCTTCAATTTCACTTCATAGTCTTTACAAAGTTCTGTCAGGTGTACTAGCCGCTCACCTGCTACATATGTTGGGTTTTGCAACTGTTAACCATTTCTAACTTGTATTCACCACTGGACTCTTCTATAAAAACAGTGCCCGTCCTCTAAACTGACTGTTCATATTAACTGGAGAATGGCTGCTTATAATTGGGCTAAACATGTGGTAGAATACACTATCAAATTATGTGTCTGTAGTAAGTTTAAAAGCTAATTTTCAAGAAGCAGTGTTGGATTCCTAAATGAGCTGGGATTGGCAAACTGCTAATTTTATTGAAGTTTGTAGAATGGGATATGGATCACTAGAGTTCAAATATCCTGTGAAGGATTTAGTTGCAGATTTATTAGTACACTTTGGTGACCTGAATTCTGGGGAACATTATAGGGTACTGTGAGACTAGGCATCAGCTACCATAGCTAAAGATGATAAAGGCACGTAAGCGGGGAGGACAGTAAGACAGGATCCATCCTTCCCTTCCCTTCCCTTCCTACCTACCTACCTACCACAAGGTAACTCTGGGCAGCTTACAACCATAAAAGATAAATTAGTATACTAAAAACATAAATAAGTTAAACAGGCCAACCACTATGGTCCAATTAAAGATTGGGAAGGTGGGTGTAGGATGGGGGGAGGTGGGATCAGGTGTTAATCACTCAACCACCTCCACTGTGATGTTCCTCCATTGGAGCTCCAGGCTAGCTGGCAGAGCCAGGTCTTTAGGCTGCTGAGGAAGGTCAGGAGGATTGGGGCAGACTTCACATGGGGGAAATGTTCCAGAGGGCAGGTGCAATGGTAGACAAGGCCCTTTTCCTGGACCCCACACACCAGAATAATTAGGCCTGCAGCATGGCTCCTCTGTCAGCATGGGTGGGATCTTACGTAAAAGATTCTTTCAGGCTGGTAAGAAGGAACCAAATCAAAAGGGAAAAAGGTCACCTGAACCAGACAAAGGAAGTTGGACTTGAGTACATTGAACTGACTCCCCTCCCCATTTCATCAACAGTTACCAGATATGTGAATCAACAAAGCAAGGACTTTGGGGGATAAAAGGGGGTCCTAAAGCCTACCCACTCCTTGAGGTCTGTTTGGATCCAGAGTTGGTGGCTGTTGTGGTTTGTCGGCAGCCGGTGCAGACGGCAGCGGAGTCGGACAGTGAGGAAGAAGGGATCAGTCAGGGAGTCTGGAGAGGACTTGGACAAGGGTCCTGTGTCCGATGCAGGGATGGGGCCAGGACCATCTGGGAGTGGGGTGCTGCCTTTGGAGCCTTCAGAGTCTTGCAGCAGCGAAGCAGAGGACCCAGGGGAGCCAGTTCCTAGTGCGTGTGTGCGCAGAGCTGCTAGAAGGCGAGAGCAGCTGAAGCAGAAGGGGTGAAGGCTGGGAGGTGATTGCCTCTCCCATAAGGGATAAAAGTCAAACCTCAATGACGAAAGCAGTTCAATTAGATTCCAAGTCCTTCTTGAAACTCTGCATACTCTGGTTGTTTTTTTCTGATACTTCGGGTGGGTTCTGTTATAATTACTTTGAAGACTTCTGTTTTTGGCAGCATTCCCCAGCACTGAAAAACATGGGCTTATCTTGGAGAACTGTGTATAATGAGTTCTGGCTGGAAATGAAAGTAATTCCCAGCGTTGTATTAAAATAGGTTTTGCTTTTGAAACAAGTTTGTGTTTCAGTACGTTTGAGGAACCCTGGGTCAGAACAGTGGCTAATGTCCCTCTAGCTAGTACTGACAGCCTAGTTGAGGAGAACCTGGGTAAGAGTATATGTGTATGTATGAGAAAGATCAAATGTACATTGTAACCAGTAACATTTTGCTGTTAGTTTTAAATTTACCGGGTCTCTGTGTATTCAAAAGAACCTGTTGTACCTCAGTGTTTGGATGAAAATGATTTGTGTGTCTCCCCAATTTTATTTCCCAGTTGTTGACCAGGGATGTGTGTCTTGTCTGCTTTCATTGCACCTGTTTGGACAAACCAGGTAGAAAGCAAGGGGGACTTACAAGATGTACATTCTTCCATGGGTCTGTGATTGTGTGAGTAAGCTGAACCTGGGAGCACCTGTAACAGTGCCCTTTTGGATTATATGAGGAACAAATTAATATTGTATTTTGTTTATATATTACCTTATTTGGAAGTGTGCTCTGAAGCAGGGGTGGCCAACCTTTTGGACCTCATGGACCACCAAACTCATAATTTTAGATCCCAGGGACCACTAACTGGTTCTGTGGGCATGGCCTAATTTGTGGGTGTGGCTTGGTGGTCATGTGACTGGCTGGGCATGGCTTGTATGTAAATATTATAAATATTTATATAAATATTGAATGTTTTATAAAAAAGAGCAACTTTTACCCAAAATCAGGCAAAGCAGGCAGGCAGGCAGATTGAGTTGCTCACAGAATCACAGATTCATTCAGAAATCTATCTGCCATTGGCTAGCTCAGTCTGTCACATAAAATTTGCTTGCAAGCAAACTCATAAAATTAACTCACAACACACCATGCATGTAAATATTGATATTTTTATTTAAAAAGAGCAACTTTTACCCAAAATCAGGCAAAGCAGGCAGATTGAGTTGCTCACAGAATCATTCAGTGATCTATCTATCTGCCATCGGCTAGCTCAGTCTCTCAAATTTGCTTGCCATGAGTCTGCACTGAATTTGCTTGCAAGCAAACCTTCAGTCCTAAGAGAGGTTCAGTTGTACTTAAAGGCAGAGCCAAAGATCTAAAGACTTGCTAGAAAGCAAGCCGCGGCCCACTGGTTGGCGACCATGGCTCTGAAGCATACTTAACATTTGACTGTGGTTGGGTTCACATGTCACTTAACCTTGTGGAGGTTTGTTTGGTTATGACTTAGTATGTTGGGTGAATCCAGCTATTGCGGTCTGCACACTGGTAAAATTAGGCCACCATAACTTTTAAAACAAACCACACTGTAGTGTGATGTGTGAACTCAATCAGCAAGTGCATTCCATGGGAATAACAGTCTTTCAGCCAAAACAAAATAGTTTTTATTAAAATATTAAGACACTTATTATTGTTGGATTCCTGTAGATAATTGGTGATTCCTAGTAATGACACTCATCATTGCAAAGAAAGATCCCACATCTGGGCCCCAGTTAAATTACATTCAAGAAAGAATATTCCTCTTTGTTCTTGTCAAGAACCTTATGTTACCAAAATAACATCAGTAACTATGACTTTGGTATCCCCAAGAATACAAGTAGCTTTTTTCATATTGGAAACCATGAAAACAGTTTAAACTGCCTAAAATAGAAAATATCTTTATAGTTACTTGTTGATAGCTTATTCTAAACTTGGAATAAAATTAGAATAATTGGCCAAAGGCTGAGTTCAGGCATGTTTACTGATTTAATGATGTTCTTTTTTCAATCACATGTATTTATTGACCCCTACTGGCTTTGTGGACTGTTTACTGCTATTTCTGGCCTGTTTTGTAGCCTAATTTACCTTTGAGCTTAATTTTAAGTCAACAGTGCCTGTCATAAACAACTGTATGTACAATTTTTATATGCAATGATCTAGGCAACTGGATTTGTGGACACCACTGTCTGAAAGTCTCAGCCCTACTGTGTTAATAATGAATGTAGTAAAGGATTTTAAAAAACTAAAACATTTAAATATGAACAGTATATAAACAGGGAACAAATTCCATACCTCCCAAGCACTGATGATGTTACCTAGCTGGGTAATGAAATGTCTGCAAACAGCCAAGCTCAGAGAGCACCAAGGACTCCATAGTTCAACCCTGAGCTACATGTTTCTCTTATATTGGTAACTTTTATATAACCTGAAAATAAAGAAGCAACAAAATAGGCAGCTTTTAATGTACTTCACTAATTAAAAAATACAAATTAAAAAGTAAGGAGGCAGTTAACATTCATATTTCAAGCAGCTACTATATCTTCTAACTTTTAGATTAGTAATCTACACTGCAAAGACCTGAGGTGCTCCCGTTAAACATTCTCAGCTGCCTGTAATTTCTGCCTGTAGTTAACTGCAGAAATCGTTTTCAAATCTTTGTGTTTTGTAGGTTAATTTTGTTGGAATGTTAGTGTTTGGGATTCGGAATCATTTAGATAAGATTACTGATCTGCTGAGATCTGATTCTTGGAACAGTTTTGTCCAGTAATGTTAGAACTGTGAAGACTCACTGTTAGGGAAGGACTAGGGAAGACTAACAACCAATGTGTGGATTTCTGACACATGGTATTGAGTTTTGATGTTGCCAGTACTTTTAATTTAGCTGTAGGCAAGGCATATAGCATCCCCCTTCTTCTTATTTTTTATCATAATCCCATGACATAGAATGTACTAAAAAAAGAGTGATTTGCCTACAGTTGCATAGCAGTTTGCTGTGGCTGAGGATGCACTAGAACCATGATGGCGAACCTATGGCATGCGTGCCGGAAGTGGCACGCACAGCCATTTCCCCCAGCACACAAGAGCTTACCCGGAAGAGCCCCATTGCGCATGCGTGCGTGCTGCCACTGCCTGATAGCTGATTGTCGGGTATCTGGTGCGCATGCACGGGGGTGGTGGTGCAGAAACACTGGGGGGTCACGCGTGCATGCGCAGGTGGATGGTGTGGGGGTGATCGTGTGGGAGACGTGTAGTATGCTGCGAGGGTGATTGCGCGGTGTCCGGCAAGGGGATTGCGCACGCAGGCACAGATGCGTGGCGTGCTGCAAGGGGATTGCATGCGCAGGCGCAGAAGTGGGGTGTGCTGCAAGGGTGATCATGCAGTGCCCGGCAAGGGGAATCGCGCATGCATGCGCAGATGTGCATCGTCAGGCAAGGGGATTGCACATGCATGCTCGGGGGGTGGGTGCGGCCAGCACACATTGCCTTCTGGGTTCTGGCACGTGAGCACGTGTGCATGAACGCACACACAATTATCGGCACGGGAGCCAAAAGTTTGCCATCACTGCACTAGAACCTGGGTTTTTCTAGTCTAGTCTTAACACCTTAACTGCTGCATCATACTGGAGAGTACATAGCCTATGTTGAACAGCAGAGCTGAAAATACATTTTTTTTCTGAGCTGACCAGTGAACTCTCAGTCTTCTTGGTGCTGAAGAAAAAGTAACCTCAAGAGTTCTTTTTCTGATTACATGGAACCTCTAAGGCAGGGGTGTCATACTCAAGGCCCACGGGGTGATCGGGTGTGGTCTACCTAATGCAAAGAGGAAAGATCAGGCCAGCCTGGCTTTGGCCCGGTCTACTCAATGCAAAGAGGAAACATGCCAGCAGTTTGGGGAGTGGCATCAAACTAGCCACACCTACCCAGTTGGCCACACCCACCCAGTTGGCCATGCCGACCCACCCAGTTGGCCACGCCCACCTGGCCCCACACAGCCCTGATGCGGCCCTCAATGAAATTGAGTTTGAAACCCCTGCTCTAAAGTAACCACCATTGTGGGAGAGTGAAACTTGAAAGCAATGCTGACCCAAGCAAAGGCAGCTCAGCTTCCCTCCCTCCCATCTCTCTTTTAGTCAGAACGTTTTAAAGAAAAACTTTGTAGTAAATATTTTTTTTATCGCAGAAGTGTCTGTCACATTCTGTGCAGGGAGTGATATACAGTATATCTGTTTATGCACATACAGTGATACCATGGTTTCTAGATTCCAAGCAAAAAGTTTAGGTCTAAATAAATCCAGGCCAAAACTATTTGACCCCTTTTATTTTAATATGTGGTACAATGAAGATTGTTGTATTATGTTATCCCTTATATGTGAGTGGAAAGTGCAGTTTCAGGCTATGCACATGACGTGAAACTATAGAAGAAAATGGAAAAGCCTATAGGAAGTTGGAATGTGCACTGGAGCTTTAAGGTCATGGTCAGTGTCTGTACATAGAGTGGGTTATGAAATGGCTAAACCATGACCAATTTTAACCATGGTTTGGTGAATGGGTTTATGCAGCACTTATGCAGCTGGGTTTATGCAGCACTTAACCATGGTTTACAGACTGAAGAGGCTGGATTCATATATCTTGTAACACCAAACCAAACATATGGTGTAATAGAAAAACAGTATTAAGTATCATGCATACTTCATCAGAGCTAGAGGTTGATTTTTACATAAAAGTATGGCAGTTGAGATCTTATGGGATTCTGATTTATCCTATTTTGTTTTCATAGGAAGCCCATGAAATCCCGAAGTAGAAGTCCCGCTTATTCAAGGCATTCAACATCTCATAACAAAAAGCAGAGAACTGGGTCTTGCAGTCGTCATTCTAGTATCTCACCTGTTCAGCTACCACTGACCTCCAGTTTGGGAGCTGAGCTGAGTAGGAAGAAAAAGGAGAGGGCTGCAGCTGCAGCTGCAGCAGCAGCAAAAGTTGATAGAAAGGAGAGCAAGGACTCACATAGCCTATTGTCTAGGAAAGAAAATAACTTAACTGAAGTAAAAGAGTCTATAATGGATGTCAGGAAGGCAAAAATTGCTAAGCCTGAAAAATATCCTCCTGATCTGGTGATGGTAAATATTCTACAATACAGTGCAGAAACAAAAACAACTCTTGAGCCTGCCAAAACAAAGACAGAAAATTCTGAGAAGAAACTACCTGCTTCAGTTAGAGACTCAAAAACAGCAGGAACAAAGTATATGAAACTTACTATAGCAAAGGAGGAAATTGTGACTTCAAAAGAAATACAGTCAGCTGAACCAGAGGTCCCAACTCCTTTGTCTTCTGTAAAGTCACTCCCTCCTTTACCAACATCATCCCCACCTCAGGTTCCTCCTCCATTGCCCCCCTTGCCTCCATTGCCAGTTATTCCCCCTCTGCCACCTGCTCAGTCATCTACCATTCACAGCCCTGCTTTAGTTCCTTTGTGTCTGTCATCTTCTGTCCACTGTAAGACATCCTTAACTTCGCAGGCTAACTCTCAGTTCACCATGCAATCCGCCTCAAAGGGACATGTTTCTGTGACCATTGCTGTCCCCCATCTGAAAACGTCAACATTGCCTCCACTCCCTTTGCCACCAATCTTGCCTGGGGAAGATGAGTTGGAAAGGTAAGGTTTGTAAATGCTGCTATTCTACAAAGTCTTGCTAGTGTAATGGCTTGCTCACTTCACTGTTCTGATGTAAAGCTTGGTATCTAAAAACTGTTGAACTGGTGTGGTAAATTGTATAGTCAATAAAGGAGAAGGAGTCTGGTTGCGTCTGAAACCTTGAATTACTAGTACTACAGGTACTAGTACTAGTACTACAGGTACATTCAGAGAAATCTAGCCCTGGGGGCGGGGGGTGTTTGAAGATGCTTCTCCCTAGGCTTCAATCTCCTCATCGCTTCTTTGAACCAAAATTGTTTGCACGGTCCCCCGATAGAGGCGACTTCCTCTCTGGGTTGACCACAGTTGCAGTTCTAGCTTAATGTCAGACCTGCCCCAGTCCGATCCCTTAGGATAGAAAGACCCTCAACTCCATTTGTTTGAAGTGATAGGTTCTTTTACTGAAAGATGCTGGCTGCAGTAAGCTCAGGCTAGAACTAAATTTCCCGTGCTAAAAAGATACGGAAGGTTTCCCCTCATCTCAGCCCTCCCCCCATCACCAGTTCATCTTCAGCCAATGAAGATTCACCTAGGTGTTTTGAGAACGCTGAGATGTTTGGGATAATCCACATTCCTTCTCAGGGTGCATGGCCCTGAATGCTGGAACAAAGTGGTTCTGAGCTTCTCTGTTTTTCATCAAGCTGTCATTTCCCCCTCCCTATTTCCCATCACATACTGACACAGGTATATTGCCCATTTGTTCATTCCCCTCCCCCCTAGCCTTTGATGGCAGGATGCCAACGAGGTGCTAAGCCGAAGATGGCAGACTGAAAAACATCCAATTATTTTAATATATTATTTATTGTTTTATCATAAAAAGTAAAATACAAAACAGAAAAACGAACAAGTGATCAAATATATTTAACATTTAACATGTAGGATCCACCCTGGCTGGGTGCTGAAAAAAAAAGAAAAAGTAAATTCTTCTCTTTTATACACACACACACACACACACACACAAAGAAAGAAAGAACAAAAAGAAGTCAACAACTTAAGCTAAAACCATCTGTTATAATATTTAGGGCATAGAAAGTCCACAAACAGTTTCCAGCCCTCTCATAAAGCTATCTAGTCCATTATCTCTAATCAGAGCAGTTAATTTTGCCATCTCTGCTAATTCAATTTCAAAATCCAACTGTCAGCATCCCATTCTTTCCAGTGTTTGACAAGTACAATCCTCGCAGCCATCACCATATGAAGGAATAGCACCCCCAAATTGTTTTTCAATTGGCTTGTCCATCATACCTAAAAGAAAAGCTTCAGGTTTCATTAATATTTGTATTTAAAATATGTTCTACATTGTCATTGTTATGTTTGTCCAGTATGTTTTCACATATTTGCAAGACCACCACATATGATAAAATGAACCTGGATTTGGACTACATTTCCAGCACTTATTAGAAGTCCCTTTATACATTTTCACTAGTCTATCTGGGGTCAAATACCAACAAAATATCATTTTATACAAATTTTCTTGGCCTTAAGTGCTGGCACAAACTGGTTCTGACCTCTGTTCTTCATCAAGCTGTCATTTCTCCCCTCCCTATTTCCCATCACATACTGACACAGGTTTATTGCCCATTTGTTCACCCCCCCCATGCCCCTTCCCCCCAGCCTTTGACGGCAAGATGCCAGCAGAGTGCTAAGCTGAAGATGGCAGGCCTGACATGCTGCCCCCTTTGACAGAGACATTAGTCCTGCAGAAAGGGAGGGAGAGACTCAAAAAATACATAATTAGTTGGATGGTCATCTAGGCTTATCAGGATATTGTTGTGGAAGTTTTAAGCAGTTTGGATGCCTTAATGTGTTTGGAGTCAACCCGTTCAATTTCTGAAGGAGGGAAGTCTTTCCAAGCCACTAAATACTGGGTTTTTCCTCT